ATATATATATATATATATATTTACGTGTATCCAAAAATATTTAATAACATATAAAATTTTAAATAAAAAATATAAGAAATAATTATAACAAAATATAAATAATTTCAAAAAATAAATAATTATGATATATATTTAGCGTAAAAAAATAACAAACCAAATTATTTTACAAGGATTTAAATTTTTTTAAATATTTTTAAAGTGCTTATTCCTACAAATACAAATACTTTACAATCCATTCTTACTCTATTATTAAGTAAATATGCGTTTAATTATCTATTTTAAAATCATAATAAGTTTATTCTTCTCAAAAGTAAGAGTATTGTTCACCATCCTAACTTCAATCCTTTTTTTTCTGGCCACATTCAACGACATTGAAATATGTGAGGTTGTTTAGCAAATACACACTAATATATGATATTATTATTTGAAATAGTCAAAATATCAACAATATATACTCTAATGTTTAATATTTGTATATAATTCAATAATATATATTACGTCATTTTTTTTACATTAATGAGATATCAAATATTTTAAATTAATATAAATATTTTAAATATTATTTATATAAAATAAATTTTCATGATTTTTGAGATAATATTATTCAATTATAACTTATTAAATGGTGTAAACAGTTGTCATAAGTTATGGGAATATACTTTGGTCTCTCCCATTATGGATCATATCAAGATTGTAATAATTTTATTTGTACACCTTTTCTTAAACCATTTTAGAGAAAATCTGCTTGATACTAATTACTGTATCATATTTATAAGTTATAATTAGTTGAAAATTTATTACTGAATTCTAATTAGAAATTTAATATATAATTTAGCCAGTTTTATATTTAATTGATTTTGTGATTCGGTTAAATATATTTTAGCATAGTTTAATCTTTGTATCCATTCCTTATTAAAATTTACTTTCATTATAACAAACACGAGTTTTATTTTCCGGGAACGAAAGTTATATGAAAAAAATTAAATATAAGGTAAACTCTTATCTAATTTAAAATTAAGAATCCTATAAAAATATTAGAATAAAAATAAAGATAAAACTTATATATAT